TAAAATTTGTTTCATTTTCAGCACTTATTATCGCATTGTTTCTTCAGGTTTCCTTTCTTTTGTTTTGATTTCAGAACGATTTGTTGCAGGAGCGAGTGGATATTGAAACAAGTTATAGCAAATGTCTGCAAGCCTACAATGATAAGTGGTCAACGCATATCGGTGGATTAGCCGCATCCGCACTGCAAGATGTTTGGAGAGATGTTTTGGAGGAGAGCATGGAATTGCAAAGACTTCATGGGCATGTCCGAGATCGCATCTGCGAGGAGGTTATCTTTTGGTTTTTGTTGGAGAACTCGTGCACTGGAAATTTCTGGCCTTTAACTTTTAGGAGGGTCAGCCCTGGAAGAAGCTAGAGTTTTATCGATGTCCCGTAAGCCCGCATTGATAGGTTAAAATAGTCATAATATGCACCAGTTTTAATTGCTATGTTATAAATTTAAGTGCGCTCTGGCATAATTATTTCAGATTTTGAAAACCATTGCACTGTATCTGAAAGACAATCATCATCCATCACCGTTTCGAGCCTCAAAAGAATTGCGTGAAATTGAAGAAGATTTTGAGCGGGCGCAACGAACTTGGCGGCGACAGTATGAGAAGGTGGAAAAAGCAAAAAAAGCATTTCATGCGGCATCCAAGGCCGAGCGCACTGCCCAAGTTCAGGTGAAAATGAAAGCTATTTTTGTAAAAATTGTTCTCTGAAAACTCTGACAGCTTTCTCGGTGAAATTTGATAAACCTTAGAGATGTTTTTCATTTTCACTTCAAGGTAATTTCTTTTCCTGTTGGAGTTGTAGCACAAGCTAGCCTGCTTGAAGCTAAAACTGCTAAAATTTAATTCAGATGAGGAATGCATGCGGTGATGCGACAATTTCCTTGGATATCGAATCGAAACAACGTGATCGTTACCAGAAGTGTCAGGATGAACTGGCGAAGACTGAGAGAGCTTATTGTGCAACTTTAGAGAACCTGAATAATATGAAAAAGAGTTACATATCTCACATGAGCGACGTATGTTGACATTCAGTGTTGTCCTTTTCCGTACAATTTATTTCACGGATTTCGATTCTTCAGGAATGGCTGAGTAGTTTTTTTGGGTGTCATTTTTTTTTCTTTTTTTGATCAATGAGTTTACAAAAATTGCTTGAAATATCAGAGTGAAACTCAGATGTTGCCGGATTGTGTCCAAACTCTAGACACATCCATATGAAGCCACAATCACGTATTCTCTTCAGTAAAGATTCTGCTAACCGGCACAGCCTTTCGACATATAATCTTCGGCTAGAGATTGTGGCGCATATTCATTTCTTGAGCAAAATAGGAGTGTCTTCCAGCTTTCTCCAGATCTTCATTTGTTTGTCCAGATTAGTTACATACCAACACTTCGTATCAATTTGGTTTTTGACTCATTGTATTTGTGTTCTTCATTGCTTCGTGAAAATGCGGCAATAGTAGTATGGGAAGGTGAGAACAACGAAGGTTTAGTTACTTGAGCTGTTTGCGTTGCTCGGAATAGAATTCTCGACTCTGCATTGCCGACCACCTACAATTCAAGGCGATTCTTTTATTTTATTTAATTTTTTTTCATTTTTTTACTTATGTTATTTTTAGATTTTATATGGAATGGTTTTTTGGTAGCATTGA